CTATACCTATTTATATTCCATAATTTTGATGTTTGATTATATTTCCTTGAAAAAGCTTGGACCACATTCCCAGGAGAAACGTTGAATTTACTTCAGAATTCATCCGCTGAGAATTTACAAATACATTTTTTCTCATTTATGTCTGTGTAAAAATCATTTGAGAGGAAGAAACATTCAACCTCCAATCTCTAATTATCTATGTATTTAAATATTATATTTATGGAATCATCGATTCCTTAGATTATCTTGAACTTGTTTATGCATTCAGTGGAAACAAGTTCAATCTCAAAGTGTCCTCGTTTACTTGAAATCTAGTTGAAGAACGTAGATGACACCTTGATCATTACAGAACGAGATGAATAAGACAAATGCGTTTAAGCTGTCAACTATGTATCTGATAAAATCAAGTTCAGTAAAGAGATTATATCTGCTGATCATGAACTACCATTTCCTGACTTTTTGGTTGGAAGAAAGTGTTAAAACTATCTAAAATTTAATATATTCTGAAGACCAATATATATTGTGGAGAATATCTGGACTACAAGTTAACAAACGCCCTATCTACAAAGGTGACAATCGCTAACAATTTAATAGTCAGAGTTCAGCAACTAGTCACTGAATCGAAAGACATGGAAATTGTGTTCAATTTGGTTGCGTCAGCTTTGATAATTAATATTCATCCTATAGACTCTGTGAAGATATCTATAAAGGAAGAGGGTAAAAATTAAGAGGAACGATAAACTAAAAGAATGGACCAATATGATAGTGATACCATATACCAAAAGAACTTCAGGAGAGATCACAACAATCCTGAACTATTATAATATTAGAGTATTTTTCCGAACAAACAATACTCTTAGTTTTAAATTAGTATAAGTCAAGGACACAGTACCACGAAAACAACAATAAGATACTATGTATGATGTCAAATATAATGCATGTAACAAAATGTATGTATGTGGGAATTCACAGTAGTTGGACAAAAGGGTGAAGAAACACAAATTTCGATTGAAGAACACACTTAAACCTTCAGAAAACCTCAAAAATCTAGAACAAAAGCCAGTGAAAGTACTACTTTCAATAAAATCTGGATACACAATTGACTTCAGTGGAACAACAATTCATCAGAAAAGTTTTAGTTTGTACAAAGAAAGATTGGATTGATAGCTGAAACCCTACATTAATGAGTTAACCCAAACAATATAAATAGAAGATATGGGGTGCGATTGACTGTACAGTGGTAAGTCGTCTAACTTTTTTTTAAAACATTTACTTCCATTTGTTTTAATCGATTAACTTGTCTAGATGTATGATTAATAACCAACTTGCTTAACACAACATAAACTTACATTTATTTATCAGTATGGGGTGGAGATTGTTGAGTTTAGATTGATATCACGAATAGATCAATATCAAACCACCATTGAAAACCTGGAAGAACTGGACGGCTGTTTCAACGATCCCTCATGCGGAACTTGAACCTAGAACCTTCAGTCACGTGCGCGAACACTTAATCTTTAGACAATCGAGCCGGCATTCAACGGTGTTAATGTCTGACTTCTACCAATCCTCAATGTTGCGCGGCCGTTCACCATTGTCTTCCCTGAGTAACTGCCTCACAACAGATCTGGTTGAACCCCACTCTTCATATTTATTTATTTGCCTATTCTGATTTTATTCATGATGTGACCAGTTTAATTAATAACATCTATCAAATTGTCTAATTTTATCAATGAACATGAGTCTACTTCATATTTGGCTAAATTATTTCTCTTGAAGAAAGGAAGCTTGACCCAAATTTATTTCAATCACAGAGATCTTTATAAAAACAATTTCCTTTCTAAATACTAACAAATTAAACAATTCAAACAATTAAAATGTAATTATTCTTAAAAAATTAGCTAAGCAGATATGATCATAGATATATTTGTTGTTGTTGTTGAACGAAACAAAAGCCCAACCTCAAATAAAACATTGTGATTTCTTTAATCTGTTAATGCAAGTTAATTAATGAATTCAAAATGTTTCAGCTGACAAAAACAACTGATATCAATCATAAATCATCTACATGTATATTCTAGATAATCTTTAAATTAGTTTTTTTTTCTTAAAAAAAACATGGATTACATTTTTCTGATCAATTAGCTTAAGTAAGTTTTTCAAATGATCATTCTAAATTCACTTGGTATTGTTTGTTTGTTGTTTAGGACTACAATTGATCAGTCTCTTGTTGACATATATGCATCCTGTACGCATTGCTTTGATATTGCCCTTATTAACAAGCATTATAAGTAAAGATGGATAGTAGCTAGTAGTAGAATGCAGGACGTTTGTTTCTTACTATTCGGGACCCATCAGCTGGATGTACCTACATGTCAGAGTTGATGTTCACTTTGGGGCTCGAACCCAGTACCATTCGCACAAGTAAACAATACCAATTGAATCTAAATTTCATCTCATTGCACAAGCAGGTTACTATCAGGACTCAGTAGTTAGATGGACAAATAGATGAAGTTTGGGGCTAATGGTACCGGGTTCGAGTCCTGGAGTGAACACCAACTATGGAATGCAAGTACATCCAATTGACGAATCCCAGATAGGACAAATTTCACTACTAGCCATTATCCATCTTTACTTATAGATCATTCTAAATGACTTAAAATGGACATTACAGAGCATCACTGAAAATAGGCAGACTGAATCGCACTTGTGCTTGTTTATTTTTCATGTTGAATAATGAAAAATGAAAATATCTAATAATTAGAAGAAAAATGCTGTGAAAAAGGCAAATGAATTGTTGGGTTGTCCTCCCAAACATATTTCTTCTTCTCCACCTTTCACTGTTCCTGAGATTTTCTTAAACAAGAATTAATTGTATCTGGTTTGATTTATTTTGTCATTAAATGAATTGAAGTTTTAATTCATAAAGAAACGTTAATTAAATTAGTTGCTCTGTAAATTCAATCTATCACATTGATAGAACTTGAAAAAAAGAAATAATTATGTGAATGGAAGATGTCGTGCTTACAAGGAAAATTTGAAGGTATTGGTTGAATCCCATGTTGTATGATTCGTATTACATTGTGGTCCCCATACCAGTAATAAATAGGTTTCCTATAGTGCTAGGCCTTCTATTATCCATTGGCTGATCTCAGTTCGTAAATAAGAATATCTTCAAAAACTGACATTATATCTTAAAAGTATCTCGTGAGGTAACGTTTTCGAAGAGTGAAAGAGTACTAAACGCTATGAATCAATTGCTACCATTAACTACCTTGACGTATAAGCTCATAACATCTTAAATCATTTTATTTATCCGTAGAGAAACAATCATTTCACACTTTAAAACCATTACAGTATTTTCTTCTTTCATTAATTTTCCTTACTAATGGGAATATAAGAAAATGCAGTGAAGTGCATTAGTTTTTTTCATTTGTTAACAGTCTACTTTTGAGCTACTTTACCGTTTGTAATCCATCATTAAATCTTAAACCTTTTAACTCTTATCTATATTTCTGGCTTACTTTACCCATTTCTATATCTTGCAATCTACAGTTTGTCACAAACATTATAAGCCATGATGGATGGTGACCAGTTGTGGAATCCAGGACGCGCGTCTTGTCCTATTTGTGACTTGTCAGCTGGATGTATCTGCATTCCATAGTTGGGATTCACCCCGGGACTCGAACTCAGTACCGTTAGCTTCGAACTCCATGTCGTTATCCACTTAGCTATTGAGTGCTGATTACCACTGTCTTACACAATGTGGTGAAGTTTATATTCACTTTGTATTATTTGTTTAAATCTTCCGATTGATGTTTAGGAATATAATTGTACTCCTCTGCTAACCATCATCCACCTTTGCTTATAATGTTTGTGGCAGTACGCACAGTATGCATATATGCCGATAAGAGACTGATCAATTGTAATCCTAAACATCAATGAAACAATTCAAACAAACAATACAAAATGATGAATCTACATTTTATCAGTTTACATTAGAATGTCGCAGAAATCATAAATCCAGTTGATGATAAATTCTTCATTTTCTTTTTTAAATTTCACATTTACCAAGTCTGTGGTATAAACTATTCCATCAGTTATCAGAAGGGGTTTTGTGGAGATTTTAGTAATTTCAATAGTTGAAATCATGGGTTAATTGAAGCTAAACCACCATGGAAAACCTGGAAGCACTAGACGGCTCATTGAAGAAAATGGTAACGGTGGATTGGTTGAAGTTAGACAATAACACCGTTGAATTCCGACCAGCTCAGTGGTCTATTGGTTACGCGCTCGCGTGCGAGACTGATAGGTCCTGGGTTCGAATCTCTCGGTGGGCGGGATCGTGGACACGCACTGCTGAGGAGTCCCATACTATGACGAAATGGACGTCCAGTGCTTCCAGGTTTTCCATAGTGGTCTAGCTTCAATTGACTCATGATTTCAACCATTCCATCAATTCATTAACATTTTACTGTAATACACGTAACCTAAGTAACATTTTACACTTCAAATATCATTCTAAATTTCTTTTAAATTAATAAATGAGATCTTTTATAGTTGATAAAAAAAATTTAATTAGTATGTTCATTCAATCATAAATAAGATAAAGATGATTGAAGCGAAAAATGATTTCCTACAAACTGATAATATAGGCGCATGTCCGAAGATATACACAATAGAAAAAACATTATTGATAAATTTGGTTCCATATGACAGTAAACTATGTCATAAAAACATCCCATTGAATGAAATAATATAAAATTGAGAGAATAACTTCAGTATTTAATGTATATACAATAAATATTGACAAACTAATACACATACCAGTTGCATTATGACATTTTTTCATTTAAAAAAATTTCTTTATTTCTAATTATTTAATGATAATTCATGGATAGAAGTTATTCTACAGACATTTGTAGAAAAGATTTAGTTGAGGTAAATTATGTAACATTTTAGAGCTATGAAATAGTCATAGTTCATATGCACTAAATTATTTACATGAATTCTCGTATGTTTGTGTTGTTCGTGTATGATGATGATGATGATGATGATGATGATGATGATGATGATGATGATGATTTGGATGATGATGATGATGATGATGATTTGGATGATGATGATGATGATGATGATGATGATGATGATGATGATGATGATGATGATGATGATGATGATGATGATGATGATGATGATGATGATGATGATGATGATGATGATTTGGATGATGATGATGATGATGATGATGATGATGATGATGATGATGATGATGATGATGATGATGATTTGGATGATGATGATGATGATGATTTGGATGATGATGATGATGATGATGATTTGGATGATGATGATGATGATGATGATGATGATGATGATGATGATGATGATGATGATGATGATGATGATGATGATGATGATGATGATGATTTGGATGATGATGATGATGATGATTTGGATGATGATGATGATGATGATTTGGATGATGATGATGATGATGATGATTTGGATGATGATGATGATGATGATGATGATGATGATGATGATGATTTGGATGATGATGATGATGATGATTTGGATGATGATGATGATGATGATGATTTGGATGATGATGATGATGATGATGATGATGATGATGATTTGGATGATGATGATGATGATGATGATGATGATGATGATGATGATGATGATGATGATGATGATGATGATGATGATGATGATGATGATGATGATGATGATGATGATGATGATGATGATGATGATGATGATTTGGATGATGATGATGATGATGATTTGGATGATGATGATGATGATGATTTGGATGATGATGATGATGATGATGATTTGGATGATGATGATGATGATGATGATGATGATGATGATGATTTGGATGATGATGATGATGATGATGATTTGGATGATGATGATGATGATGATGATTTGGATGATGATGATGATGATGATGATGATGATGATGATGATGATGATGATGATGATGATGATGATGATGATGATGATGATGATGATGGATTATAATACAATGCATCTAAGAGTGTGTACAACTTTCTCACTGTCTTCATGTGCATATCCATTGGCAACCTTTAAAGTTTGTAATAGACAGATCTGTGATTTACTAGTACATTTATTGTATTCAATACTACTACTTCTACTTATCATAATATTTCGCGTTATTTTTTTTGTTTATCTGTGCCATAATTTGTTGAAAACCTCCTATATACTTCTTTGATTTTTTTAAATTTTAAGTATACCTGTTTAAAATTAGTTTATATAGTTACTGTTAGTCACTTCATTAAGAAATGCAACCTGGAAGTAGCATTTGTATGCTGTACATGGTCACAAGAGCCTGTTGGCTCCATATCAATTTGTTTCAATCTAAAACTATCTAAACGAATAATAAATAAATATTTTAGTTATATGTCTTCAACTCCATTTAAGAACAAATCTAAAATGACATTTTCGTTTCTTCGAGCTACTGGGATCCGTTGCATTATAATTGAAAAAGAAACTTTACACGTCTATTTCCGAGATATAAGAATCGTGATAACCTTTTCACATTTAAGCTATTGTAGTTTCAATTTCAACACAGCCTCCTATGATTATTATTTACTTGTCCTCCCTTGCATAATCGTAAAGTCCGGTACTAAACGAATAGCGTCACCAGGCTGTACAAACAATACGCTGTTTGACAACATTCATACATTTAGAGAAGAAACAGAGGGTAATTGGGATAACGAGAGGACTGAAAGAATCATGAGATATGTAGGAAACAATTGATGGAAGATGTTCAAATAATGTATTTAATGTATGATTTTCATATTTTACGAAGGCAATCTGTAATTTTACATTAAATAATAGGTTGGTTTATCCCACCTAGTTTTTCTTCATTACAGTTCCACAAGGCTGTAGAACTTTAAATAATTGAATTTTCTCGAAATCACGACCATAGCTAAACCATGATACAGTGAGTAGAATCTTCACATGTAAGCATTATTATTATTACTATTATTATTATGAAGTACAAAATTTGTATTAGGCTGCAATTAGTTCCTGCTAAATCATGTTGACAAAAAATCTCACACAGAGATCTATTTATATATTTTCGCCAACACTGACATAGTCCGAGAAGTAATCATTTAACTTTCGAGTACTTTTTGGTGTTAAATTTACACACCCTTTATCTTATAACATGATTTGATTAGAATGTAATGTATATTTATGTTTGAATGTGTTCAATTTGGAATGGTTTAGTTTTGAACACTAAAATAGTAATGGATGTTATCAAACATGAATGTGGCAAGTTGTATACCAGTTTCATGAAATATAAAATGCACTAACCGTACCTATCTGCTAAAAACGTTAGTATTGAAACAAGTAAAGTGAATGAAAAGGAAATTGTATTTTGTCTATTACATGATCTACATTCTATGTACAACAATCAGTTACTTTAATAAAACAAAATCAAAAGTTTTGAAGCATCATTTTAAACCGGAAATCGTTCGTGTTTCTTTTGGAACTAGTTCTATTTTCGTTCATTGAGTATCCATTATTTTGTGTATTATTGTGAGCTAAAAATACTTCAGCTGAATGTAGTTTGCACTACAATTTTAAACTTTCACAGTATTCATAGGCACTACAATTACTGTCAATATATTTGCTTAGTTTAGTAATTCTCATTAAGATTTGAGTTTTTCTATCCATTTTATGTTTTTATCTATCGTATTGCAAAACTTGTATTATACTAATCTGAGCAGTGAGCAATAAATTCGGTTTCATATATCATTGAATAATTAATATCTTACTATTGTAGAATTGTCCGTCAGACACCGTTACACGTTTTCGACTAATTTATTGATTCCGTGCTTTAGTTTTATTTTGTTCTAGGTTATCCATAAAGATATCGACCAAGATAGGCCCTGGTGGTGATCGCACGTCCACTCCATCGATTTGTTTGAATAGTCAGTTGTTGAATTGAAAATGAACCTTTCCGTATAAAGTTGTAATAATTTTCCCAATTAATTTCTAGGCTTAGGAAGTAATTTAGAATGTTCGCAAATTAAATCAATAGTTTCTTATAATGGTATACTCTTTAATAAGGAACGCATATCAAAAGATACCATGAATTTATCTGATTTATCCAATTGACTCATTACTTTGGAAAATTGAAATTCGTCTTTTATACTATCGGCCTCCAGTTTTATACGGACAGGTTCTAATAATCTGGCTTATTACCGAGCCAACTTATAATATGGTGAGTTCATCACAAACATTATAGGTTTGAACAGAATGTTGGATTTGTGCGCTTTAAGGAGATCATATACAAAAGGCAGTTGTGATCCTTTTACCTTCAGATTTCTGTAAGCTGAATTATGAATCAGCTTTTTCTTCAAAAGTTACTTGACATATTTACTGACTCTGTATACAATTGTTGCTGAGGTACTTTTCTTAGATTTGTCGATTTGGAATTTTGAAGTTTCGTTGGGAATTTGGAACATTTTACACACATAATCTTGTCGATACTCCCTTACAACACAATAACTTTTATCTAGTCTTATTATAATGACATTATTCTTTTATAAATTCTTCAGTGCTGAAATATATTCCTTCATCAAAAGTTTTGAATGTGGAGTTACGGAAATATAGTACTGATTTTCAAAATTTATCAGTTTTGACTTAAATCAACCTTTTCCGTCTTCATCTATAGGTTTCAAGTCGTTAATTTGTTTGCACAGGCTTTCAAATTGCGTTTGTATATCAATTTCGTTAACATTTTTTTATAGAACATAAAATATAAATCCAGGAAAGAGAACTTGACTTTCAGTTTTGTTATGCCTCACACTTGACAGATTATGAATAGATTTTTCCCGTGAAGGTAGAGGTCTGATTGACAGAAATAGTATATCACTTAACGCACGGTGATTTTTGTATTTTTTCTAATAGATTATTTTCCATCCCATTTTTAAAATTTTTTTCATCCTATTTCATCCAATTAAATGATTAGTTTTAAATTAGTAATAATTGCTTATTTATCTCTTAAAATTGATATAAAGTGTAAGTACTTGTCGACAGAGCAACCTTTCTTTAAATTGTGGACGATAATAACGTACAAAATAAAAGCTCTATCGTTTCTCACGTTGTCACGGACACGGATTAAGTGTTCTTGAGTACATTTTATCTGCTAGCATCCCAATCATTTGGAGCATTAGAGAGCGCCATCAGAACGTATGAAATGGTAACGTACTGCCATTATGCAGTGCGTGGTCCTCATGTCCATAAGGATCGGAAGCCGTATATTAAATTTGTATGTTGGAGAAATGGTCGTAAAATACAGCCGATTAGACAAAGGAGGTAATTTGAATAATGTTATTATATTGTTCACGAAGGACTGCAATGAACACTCAATATCTGGCCTTCGTCTATTGTAAATTTATTGAAGGTTACTGGACTGTCGTTCATGGGAGTGTGCATCACAATTATGAGTGCGATTCCCTGAGGTACGACAACAATTCCTGGATGCGCAGGTTAATGGAGACAGACTGTGTGACATATACAATCTTGCTCAGCCGTCAAGTGAAATTGCTGATGGAAGCACGAGGATTTTTTGTTACTGAAATGCAATGTTTCGCTCGTTTTATGCCTTAGACCCACAGCAATAATTCCATGGATTCCATTGTTCCATTTTCGGCGCGATGACGGAATAAGAGAGACGCTATTGTTCAGGACAATCGAAAACGTTAAAAGATCGAGTGAAGGCCCCTTTTAGAGCCACGTACAATTTGATTTAAATTTTATTTTTTTCAATTGATTACAAATCGCATCAAAGAACTTCGTTAATCTCATTCCATATGCCTTCTCCGTTTTTTTAGACGAGATTTCCGCCATCATTGCGTTTAACACGAATTCTCAGTGAAGTAGTTTAACAGTTTCATCCCATATGTTTCGTAGTATTTTTGTAGCCCATGTATTCTTCAAGCACGAAAGTGTAAGAAAACTTTTAGCCTTACAATTACTAAATTTTTATTGCCTGCGCTAAGGAGAATTTGTATTAGTATTCTTAGATAACCAATATCTACTATCTTAGCATATGGCATTATGTTAACTGTGAATTAAATGAACTAATCATTATACTATTTATCAGTGCCTCTGAACTCCTTTCCTACGTAAAATTATTCAGTCAATACTGATAAAAAGTTTTTTGACCTTAAAGTGTTTACTGAATATTAGTACGAATAAGTTATCATTAACGTTGATTTATTGTATTAGAAGTTGGAAATTATGTACTGAGATCAAATCACTGTTACAAAAAAATTATTTCTATGGGGAAGCTCAACGGAACTAACACTGATCAATTCTAATCAAGCCCTATTGTAGATAAGCTATATAATCAGTTGAGAATAATAATTATATGATTATAGCTCACATATTAGTAATACTATTTATGGTTTTTCAAATGTCTATATCATCCTATTTTTTATTTATTTGAGCACATAAATATTGGTACAATGGGGCACATAATACCTATGCGCCACACAAGTCACTTGATTTGTATGTGGGCTTTGATACTGCAAGGTGCCCACACTGAAGCAGATGGTTTCCTTAGGGAGCCAAACCTCGAGTCCTTGACCTAAAGGTCTGATTCACAAGGCCGTGGAGCATCGTGAGGAGATGCGATCCCATGGTAGCCGGTGACCAAAAATTGGTTCATACGCCATTTATTTCTTCAGGATACTGGAGCCCATGTGCACCATTGGTTTGGAATGGGGATTTTCCAACTCCCCTAGGTGGACTTTTCGTGTCTACCAAACCGGCCGAATCGCCGGACATTTCCTTTTTGTCCTCCCAATTTCGTAAACAACAGCCTTGCCACAAGAAGGCAGTGAGTAGGAGTTTCCTGACAGTGGTTGTATGCATGTGGCCATTTGAGAGCATTTCGAGAGGAAGAGCTGACTCTCCCCATCTTCGGCCGTACCAGAGCATTTGGAGGCCTATATCATCTAATCAACACTGAACCATTTAACAAAATTCTAAAAGAAATTTTCGATGCTTTTTACATGATTCAGCTAGACAAATGTAG